TACAGGCCCGAGCAGAGGAGGTATACTCCTCTTTGGAGTCTTGTTTGAGTGAAGAAAATATTTATGTTAACTTAATTTCCTTTCTTTTGTAAGGAATCAGAAAAATTCAACAAAAAGTCAGTTAAAATGAAGAATTTAAGGAGACCAGCAAGGCAAATTTTATGAATTCTTATGTAATTCCATTGTGCATATGAATCACTTAGATCTCCATTTCTTGGGAGGAGTGGGGGGGTACAGGAGAGGGGGGAGGCCTGGCAGGAAGTGCCCCCTGCGGTTAAATTAATTTACCAATTGAATTTAAGATTTCAGATTGCTGTTAACCTCAGCATGGAACGTTATGCTTTGATGTTTGGATTCAACACCTTTCTCGCACTGGCAATTCAGACAATTTTAACTCTTGTTGTAGTTGATTCAAGAGGCCTGGGATTGGATATAGTCACTCAGGTAAGTTATCTGTAAAGCAAATTATTTGTTAGCAAAGCAAGTTAATTGTTTCTTAAATTAAAATCATCCCAAAGTCCTATTTTGAGTTTAGTATTCAGGAAGACATTAAAAATTATGGAATAGAACAAGAAGCAAAACAAAAGAGCCCTGTTTAAGTTACATTTCAGAAGCATTGGAGTACTGTCGATGATCAACCTGCAAAACCATAAGAGAGTAGTAGGCATTTCTTTCTTCTTTTTTTTTTTGAGAAAAGGAACAAAAAATAAATTCACAGAGGGGTCCTGTCTTTTCCCTGCTGCTCAAAGAAAACTGTCATTTCAACTAACTATTCACAAACCACTTTAGAAAATACACTGACTAAATAAGAGAAGGAAGCCAGCAATAGAACACAAAAGTTTTTGGAGGCTTGTGAGGTATTTTCAGTAATAGTAGTGGTAAGAGCAATAAGCTAGGACAGCCCCTGAAGAAACCTTCTGTCTTAAAATGAAATATAATCAGAAGGTAAGATTTGTTTCCTTGGACTGGATTTAGGAAAAAAAAAACTTTACAATTTTTATATAAATTAAGGAGGTTCATCAAGGCGAGATATAAGATGTGTAGAAAGGGCACCTCTCCTCAGACTATTGTTTTTCCAGGCACCCTACTGTAGATAAGCTACACATTGACAAATGTAGTAGAAAAGATCTATACATAATAGAAATGAATACAAGCATTTTCCAGGTGGGTATTGAATATTTCCAAGGACACTTCAGAGATAGAGCTTAATATGGAAAATGAAAGCACATCTTATTTCCAGCCTTGAGTTTGTTCTCATGTGAACAAGAATATTCTCTCAATTTTCAGAGCATTTCACGAAGCCACCCTGAACACAAACCTCACTTTTACTAACCAAGAGAGCTCCAGGAATCTCAGCTGTGAACAAGGAGGGTGAAAGATAGGCACAGTTTGTCACCTCGTCCAAGAAGAGAAAACCTATTCGATCTTCCCCATCTCCTGTAGATAAGCTGTTAAAACAGCAAGCAGATCTCTTTTCCCCAATGAAAGAAAGAGAGAACGAATAGCCAGCAGATAACATCCATTTTTACAGGACAGATAGATAACAATAAGGGAGTTGGGAGTCCAGGAAGAGTGGTTGTTCCTTAAGGAAATGATCCTCCAAACCCAAAGGGTGACAGTCCCAACAC